AAAATATCGTAGTACATGTATCAATAATAAATATGACGGCGTGCTCCCGGGAATAAATAAAGTCTATATATAGAAAGAACTCTATAGTATGTATAGTGGATATATTTCAATTTAAAATATTAAAATTTAGTAAGCAAAGAAAATAAATAGCTAGTTTGATGAAATCAGCTCAATTTTTCAAGTGAGAAGTGACAGCGCATTTTGTATAATAATTAAGAGATTTTTCAGAGCGATATTTTACTTACATCAATATAATATACTGCTTTTAAATGAATCTTATTGTTTAATATATTACATTCTGCAATTATTTTTGATACAAAGTTTTAGCAGATTAACCATTTAACCGTGGCACTTCAAATAGTGCATACAGCTTTTTATCGTTCGAATCTAAATCATGACGAGTATATTCGTCAATTAAAGAGTAAGTTTGATTGAAGAGCTAATAAAATATCAGATAAAAAATATGGGTTTATTTTAGAAAATTTAAGAATGGTATTACTACATTTTACTAAAAACTGATTAAATTCAATGAAATATTATACATTGAATGTAAGAAAGTAAAAATAGTTGATGAAAAATAAAAACTATTTTAAAAACATACAGGAGCACAAATAGATCAATCTTAATTTTTATTGATTAAGTATATTATTTTTACTTTCTGGGATCTCTATTTGCTTTCAGGTATAGTGCCACTTAAAATTATTTATTTGATACAGGGACAACCTCAAAATATTTTGAACAACTGGGCACTTCAGAAAATGTTTTGCTTTGTCCAAAAATGTCAATTTAAATAGCAAATAGTCACTGATTTATATGCATAACAAATTTAATCGTCACACAGAATATTCTGCCACTTTTTCATGACGAGAATATTCATCAATCACAAATTGCTGGTTAAATTTGTGAAAAGTTAGTAAAGTAAAGAATATGAAGAGTTCGCGCGTAGAAAATAAAAGCGCTGTGTATATGACACACACAGTTTTTATTTTTGATAAAAGAAATTAATACGTTTAGTGTTCATTTGTTTTTGTCATATCTCTGGTTTTGAGATTTGGCAATACTTTAATAAACTAGTTGGTATTGGTATTTTGCCTTGAGGCAAGTTACATGAACTTCCCGATATGTATAAATAATCGAATTAATCAATAAAATTTAAATTAATTTATGAGTGATTTAAAGTATTTAGAGTGAATTTATCACACATTATTGAAAACGAACAAACACTCTATTGTTATACCAAGTAAATCGTCTAATTTTAATTTTAACAAACTTCAAAAAAACTAATCATTTTCTCAAACTTGGATAAATTTTGAAAATTAAACTACTTGGCGTAAGGGCGTAATATTTCAGTAAGTTCTATAAGACCATAAAGAAAAACGTCTTAAATTTTTTTTCAACAGTTAATTACAAGTAAACGGCTAGGTAGATTTTCACCTAAAAATGATCAGTATCATTCCCAACTAATATCTTTCGAACAGTTTTTGATTTTTTTTAAACCGATTGGATAGTATGAACTCAAATATGGACGAAAAGTTTAACACTTTTTTCAAATTACAAAGAAACGGCTTGGCAGACCGTCGCACAAAACTGACAAACGATAGTCCTCATTGAGATACATCAAATAGCTTTTATGTTTCTGAAATCGGTTCAGGCGTTTTTGAGAAAACGTCGATGAAAGGTCTAATTTTGACAAATGCCAAAAAAACGAGACCAGTTTTTGCAAACTTTGAAGAATTTTTAAAATTAAACGACTTGTCGTAGGACCGTAATATTTTAGTATGATCTATAAGACTATGGTATCTACCGTCAAAAAAAAATCATAGAAATCGCCGAAAAATTTTTTTTAACACTTTATTACAAGAAAACGGCCCGGCCGATTTTTACCAAAATCTAATCAGCACGATTTCCAATCAATATCTTTCGAACGGATTTTGAGTTTTCAAAATCGAATCAGAACTGCGAACGTGGGCGAAATTTTTTTCACTTTTCTGCTATTTACAAAGAAACGGCTTGGCTGATCTTTGCGCAAAATTGATAAACGCTAGTCCTCATCGAGATACATCGACTGGCTTTTAAATTTTTGAAATCGGCCTAGTCGTTTTTGAGAAAACGTCGATTTACGGCAAGAAATCTGTTCACATACACGCACGCACACACATATACTTTTTTTCAAATTTGGCCTCTTTCGATTCAGAATGGCTTGAAACGTCTAAAAAACATCAAATTAGCGAATCGGATTTATTGATGATAACAAACTTCTTCTTCGAATTTAGAGATTAACTGGATAATACGATGCATTAGGCATATTGCAAAATTCCAATTCTTCGGTGCGCCTGCAGCTTTGCAATTCGAGTCAGGCGAGGCGAAAATTCTGTAGTTGGTCGGTCGGTTGGTGTTAGAGTATCGTGGCTTTGAGGGGGCTATAACCGTATTTGGACAAATCTCAAGTTTCCCATTGCTCTCCGAATAGAGACAAAACCCAAAAATACACTACGAGACGGCCGCGCAAATGGCTCGGCAGCGCGCATGCTCCGAAATTAGATCGGAGCGCAACGGAACACGGCGCTGGTGGAAAAGATCCAAGGCAAACCAGATAATTTTAAAAAAAAACGAATCATTGCAATGATGTTTAATTATTATACATCGAAATAAATTGAATGATTGCATTGCAAAAGGAAAGATATATTAGATCCTCCATTTGTAAAGAATACTTTTCCATTCAACCTTATATTCCATTAAAAAGTTAACTGTGATTGACGAAAAGTGCGGCACAATTAAGAGGTTGAATAATTACTCAATGAATATATTGCATAAAAAAGTAAAAAAAACAGGTATTTTGTACAACTGTAACCAACTGAAATAGAAATTTGTAAAATATTTATTTATTTGGAACACGATACAACTTTACAACATTTATTGCGGGAATGATCATTATCATTCAGCCTTTTATCGAAAAGAAGAATAAATTCACTGCATAATTCAAGTTTGTTACCTTATTTAGTGAATTTATTTATTCAAATCTATTTTAAAAATATCGTATGTCGAATATATCCTTTATAGATATAGTGAATTTATTTATTCAAATCTATTTTAAAAATATCGTATGTCGATATATTCTTTATAGATAGAAGTAGTAGAATTAGAGGATGTTTGTCATGTTAAATGTTAAATATATGACGTATCACCAAGGGTAAGAGAGGGGTCTAAAAATTCTTAAAAATCGATTACGTGATTAATAGATAGATATATATTGCATATCCAAAATTTAATTAGATATGTATTATATATTTTCTTTATCTGCCATGTATTACACAGGTCCACAAAGTAAAAAAAAGTTGTCTATATTGGGTATGCGACATATATTTTCCAAGTACGTTTTCCGAAGTCAAAATTGGGGGGTCACACCTACAAAAACGACAAATTTTACGATCTAGTAATTCTTCTCCAGGATGATGATGAGAATCTTGTAATTTCTATTGCTCCCTGGATCCTTGCATCTTAAATGACCTGTGCAACGATTATCATAGCATATATTTTAAAAATTTTATATAAGAAAATGAGTATATCAACATTTTTTTGAAAAACAAAATCTGGATATTCAACATATATTTTGCCTAAAATTCATAATAAAAAAGTAGTTGGGATTGTTTACCGAGCGATAACCTAGTACAAGCTAAAACCTGTACAATTATTTTTTATATTTGTGTTCATATTCATTTTTCATATTTAAAAAAAAATATATATTTACCCTGTTATTATTTACTTTGAAGGACATATTTCTGAAATTAATATTTTTATTTGTAAGAATTGGTCATTAATAAATACTTAAATATGAACGGTAGGAAGAAGAGTTATACATACTTATAACAATTTGGTATTATAATACATATTTTGAATTTTTTAACGCAACAATCTTGATCCAATTATCTAGTAAAATTATACTGTTTTTTGAAAACGTTTGAAAATATACTGCATGCATTCCAAAAAAATAGCATTTCACACTTTTTATGAGAAGTTATGTGATATAACTGGATTTCAAATTATTTTAACTAAAAAGGCAAATAATTATATATATTATTTGATATTAATATTAAGCTGTAGTGATAAACATATTCACTTGAAAATATCCTATAAAAGAACCCGCTTATTTTAATATGTTAAAAATATAAAGTCGGTATTGGAAAAAAATTTAAAAAACAACTATTGGATTGCTTTCTAAAAAGCCACTAAGTTCATAAGTAAGTATCATCCCAATAGCTCATAGAACTCTCAAGTTCTAGTAGATCAGCGGTTAAAGCTATGGGATTACAATCAGAAGTCCCAAGTTGAATACCTGTCTCGGGTAGTCTGAAGTCAAGTTGTATTGACATTTACTCGAAAATATCGATAGTAATGCGTTTCCAACTGAAAATAGCTTTTACTCGGCATTGCTGTATCCATAAAAAATCATCACTATTACCGAAATTGTAATAATAAAATTTATCATTGAGCTATATTACTTTCTGATATAAGACTTGTTAGAATCAATAAATCTATATCTATCTAATTTAAAAATTCGTTAGACGTTAGACGTTAAGAAAAAATATAACAACTGATAGGACCAATCAACAGTTAAATGACCAAATATATTGAAGTATGGAAAAATCTAATAACTTAAGTTTATGTTTTAAGATTTATACACGATGTATAAAATAATTAACAAAACAGTTCATATATAAAACTGGTAATTATATAATAGGATAATTAATATCTCAAAATTATCAAATCCTGCAAGAATCTAAAACGAGTACTAAAACCGAACCTTCTCCCGACTGCCTCTGCTACGCCGGTTATAACATACTGCTAACGTTCTATAAGGAAATAGTAAAAGCACATTGCAACCGACATTCTGGGATATTATTTTCAAAACATAAAAATAAAAATTTGGTGTTATGTGCCGCTTGCCGAATAGGACGCCAACGACAGCCGGAAAATAGTCCATCTGCATAACAGGAGCAGCTACATCAAAACCAAAACTGTCATTTCCTAAAGAATGATGAGATCTTTGGGACTTTCTTCCTGAACAGTGAAAGTGTTGGATAAGTGGATAGTAAATATTTACTTGGGATTATTGTGTGATTATTTATCAGTGATCTTTACAAATCAGTTTTAATCAAGACTAAATATAATGCTTCCTGAAGGGATTTTTGAAGGTAAAATTATTTTGGATTTTTAAGCAATTTTAGTGATGGATTTGGAACTCGTTTTTTGCAAAAGTTTTCAGATCTTGTGTATCCATTTCAGAGATGATATTGGATCACTAGATGATATTGTGTATAAATATTTGTCAATTTTTAAATAATTTACGGTTTGGAAGAAATAGCGTATCGCACATAATTAAATTCTAAATGAAAGAACTCGCGTTATGAATGTACTTTTCTTCAATTGATGACAAAGTAGTCATCTATACAGTATAAATTTAAATGAATAACAATTATAAATATAACAAAATAATAATGCGAAACTATTTTTTAATTAATCAATAACTCTTTAACGATATACGAGAGTCTTTTTCATTTATCGAGAGACATTTTCTTATAATATTGTAATGTTTACGCCTGTCTTGAAATCGACAAGTAAAACTGTAGGTTAAAAAAAGACTTTGAAAATACAAAATCTTCTAACCATAGAAATTTTGAAAATTGGGAGATATTAGAGTCTAGAACTTAATGCTTTCATAAAGACAATTTTTATTTAAATTATTACATATTTAATAATTTCATAGAATAATTCTTAACAGTTGTTGTTTAGTTTTACTAACAATAAGCTGATTTTACATTTTTTGCAGTTAAACTGTTTTAATTGAAATTGAAACTTTGTAAATATTCATTACAATATATTGGCTTGCTTTTAAGAACATTGATAAAAAGTGTGGGATTTCGTAAAAATATCTGATTATATTAATAGTCATGTATTATAAGCACTAAAAATATGTGCTATAATGTAATCATATATACAATAGAAATATAGTATATATGTATGTATATATATATATATATATGTATATGCTGCAACTCCTCCTATATATGTATATATATATGCTGCAACTCCTCAACGACTTATTTATATTACTTAGAACTTAATAATAATTCTGAGCAAAAACCTGCCTTATGTTAAAATTTTATTATCAGTTCTAACTTTTTTGGCTGTATATTACTTATATAATCTGTTTTTGCTATAAAAATAATCCTGAGAATGATTATATATAGATTAATTATATGGACAGCAATTTATTTGAAATATTTTGCAACGTTGGAAAAACAATCAAGATATACTAATATATTAACTGATCAGAGCTTCCAGTTTAAGTAAATCAGACAAAAATTTTACCTTATTATGATGGTATAAATAGTTCATATGTAACTCTGTAATATACGTAATTTACACATCTCAAAAGAACATGTTAATTTTCGATAGATTGTAAATAATATCTGAAATTTCACAAGTCATAGGTTGCATTGTGTTATTTATAGAATGGTTTTGCGTTTTATATAATGTTCGATATAACTTTTTGTTTTAATATTGAGATATTGCATAACATTTGGCAACTTTTTATAAATCCAAGGATTTGTCTTTATTTGATCTTCGCGCATTTTTGATTGTTTATAAAAACAGACTCTGAGAAAAATCTGATTGCATAAGGAGAATTAGATATAATATGCAAATTGTAGCATTATAATCTATCAAGTTTTTCAAAACTTTATTATATCTATCTATCAGGGTGCTCCATGGTGTAATGGTTAAGCTTACGGACTCGTGTGGACGAGGTCAAACCCCACTCTAGATAACCTGACATCGTGCAGTAGCGATGTTTATTTTCATTTAAAAATATATTTTCAATGAAATTAGCCCATTTCAGGCACTGCGGTGTGAAGTGACAATGGGAAATTTTTCACATTATTCTTATATAGCTCACGGACATACCCTAGGGCGTACTACCCAATATATCCTAATCTTTCAACTAAAACAGTCTTCTTTCAATTTCTCTATTTTTGCCTCGACAAAAAATATTTATGAATCTATATTCAAAACTGAGATATTATAAAAAGTAAAATAGACATGCATCAATAACTGATATCTGTTTCCCAGGTGTCATGCAAGAATCCAATCAGGATTTGTCATCCAGGGAAGGACTGATGCTTCCTGACTTAAGGGGCTGTATGATACCGGGCGGAGGAGGAACATTTGAAGGGCTCGATGTACTAAAAATTGAACCGCAGGATATTTGTGATCAAGAAATGACCATGTAAGTAGTTTTATATATACAAAAAATATCAATTATTGCATGTACTCATTTGCTTTTGTTGACACATTAATCAAGAAAATTTAAGGGAAGGTAAATGTTACTTTATGAATACTAACGTTAACAATAAATGGGTTATTATCACAAAGATATAGAAAATTGTTAAAAATGTTTAAGTCTTCTCTTCTCTATTTAACTTTTCCATCCATTTTCCAAATTACAAACAATAAGTCAAAGTTTGGAAAAAAAACAATTTTTTTTAAAAGTAAGCATACTCTGAAGCTTTTTGGTGCTCATTTTGTGAGTTTCATTCCCTCGGTATATTTTTGTAATAAATTTTGCGGACATCTATTTTATACAAGATTGACATGTATACATAAATCAATGATATGTGTTCCGTTGAATAATTCATTGTGCAGAAATTAATATATTATATTAGCACTTGAAGTATTGTGAAAGATACAAATCGAATAAGTCGTATATGGCGATATATGAAGGAATGTCGTATGTTTGGTTTATAAGTCGCGCATTACGAATAGTGTAGGCTTTTCAGCAAATACCGTCATCATTGACATTATTCCGTTCACCTGTTCACCAAAGAGGTGTCGACGGATTGAAAACATATTTGTAATTGATTGAAGATTCAATAACCGAGATAATTGAGGCATCAAGCTTTTAATTAGTTGCCATCGGTAACATGATTTGTTTAAATATTCGGCCTCCCAACCGAATGATTTTTAAGATGACTTAATCCTTTCCACTTACGAACTCCGAAATTAATATGCATTTTGCCGCCGCAGCGACGGCATCCGAGTAGAAAGGGTTAATTTTCACTAATACATAAGTTATATTTTATACATAAGTTATATTTTATATTTTTATTGATTATTTTATTTTACCAGTAATCACATTACAAACTACGTCTATTTTTTATGGATGGCAACCTAAACAGTTGACCCATCTATATGTAAAAAAATGTTTTCATTAAATTTTTTGTGAGAGTGATGAATTTTTATCGATGCAGTCAATTTATTTATAATCAATCAACACAAATTGGTTAGTGAATTTAGATGTTTTCAAAATACAATGATTAAAAGAAACTTTGCCAGTGCGCAAAAATATTTAAATATATACAACAATTTATAATAACAATGTTAAAATTCTACTATTTCTTGAATCATTAAGTGGTTAAGTTGATGCAGCGTGAACAAACAAAAATACGTTTAACAAATTTTGTCAAAGTAGTCATCTATTTTACTTGGAAATATAGACAGATTAACAGTATTTTCAAGAAGAAATACCTCTTCTCCGGCATTGCTGCATCTAATACAATTTTAAAGTTGCTTGAATAATAAATTTATCAAAAAGTGATAGGTCAACTGTTGGGTTTCATTTTTAAGCTACACTATTAACAAGTCTTAACAATATAGAACTGTTAATATCTTATTTTTGTTAATAATATTTGTCCTAGCTTTATTTCAGGACAGCCATCTTAAGCTCCGTTATTAACAAGTCATAATAATATAGGATTGTTAATTTCTGATTTCTGTTAATTATAATAGTCTAAAAAAATTGCTGAAATGCCTGCTATTTCTAAATATTTATATTCTTTATATTCAATAAAGAATTAGATTAGAGAATTTAAAAAAATAATAAAGAGAATAAATAATTTAAAAAATTAACAACTTTGCATATTTCATGCAATTTGTTTTATAAAAAGTTTGTCTACTCATGAAGGAAAAACAAGCATATGAAATATTAATATTTTATCACTTCATAGTATTTGCATCGTATGATGTAAATGACTAACATTTTTTTAAATTACAAACTAAAATTGACAGTCTAAAGTTTTTCTCGAAAAGATGTGCCTCACTCATATTATATTCAAATTTCAACACGGCCTTCTTTACTCTTTTACATAATTGCTCTATATTTAACCAATTTTATTATGTACTTATTGAGTATAATAATATGTAAACTATTGCAATCTGCATTAATTATATTCAAAATCAATATATCAATATTTCTTTCAAGTGTGCAAAAGTTGATTTATTAAATAACATTATTGCATAATTTAATTGTACGCGGTCAAAAGGTTGCAAGCGCCTATTTCTTCGCGACATCAAATATGCAAGATGTGGGCGTATTTCCTGTTTAACTACTTTATAAAGACTTAAATTTATAAACGCGCCGTGTCGACAATAAAACACTTCAGAATTCTATGCGAAATTCAAAATTTGCAAAAAATACTTAAATTCATGAATTAAATTAGACACCTGATAAAAGCAGCATGAAGTAACAAAATATTATGTTAATGAGCTAAAATGCTATTTGATTTTGCAATTTGCAAAACTAATAGTATATGGCAATGTGTTTATAATTAAATACCAGCAACTTTTTTTATTTCAAATTTAATAATAAAAAGGTAAACTGTAAAAGACCTTCTCAGTGATCAGTGTAATAATAATAGTAATAAGTTCAATATTCCTACTGTGACATTTTTATATTGGAAATAAACTAATTAGTTTTTAATAAGTAAATTATAAAGTAAAGCGAGGCACAAAGGTCCAATTTGACTTTGAACAATTATGTTGTGAAAACTAAACCAATTATATCACAACAAATAACAAATATCAAACAAACAACTATCTGACTAAGTTGAGTTAAAATGCTTTTCATCATTTGTAACCTGTTTTTTTTACCTCATAAGCGAGGTAAAATGGAACGGCCAAAGAGCGAACAGGTTCAATGTATTATTTTAATTTTGAAGGGAGTTTACAAAATGATAGCTATATTATTTAACCAATGCAAAATATAAATTTCTTGTAGCATGTTTCACAGAGATAACACTGTAAATAACCTCGATCTTGTATTGCTGAATAACTATTTATTGAATAACTATTTATTTAATTCATCCCTTGTAAAATTTCTTTTTTTAACTTAATTTTTTTATTTAGTATCAATTTTTAACACCTTTGCCAGGGTAAAGACTAGTTGATCCTTTTTACCCCTCTCAGATGTAAGCTTTTGTAAAGGTTATATAAAAGAAACTGTTTATTCTAACTTAAAATTTAAATACATTTTATAGAACAATTAAATAACGTATACCTAAAAATTATAATAAAGTCTCGTAAACTAAACAACAGTGCTCACAAACAAAAAAGCTAACAACGAAAGAAAACACTTAGCGGATTTTCAAACAATGGAAGGTTGTTGCTTTAAATAATGTTGTTAATATTTTTTTAGCCTTACTTGTTTCTGAAATATAGGTAGTTTATTTTTTCAACCGCGGACCTTTAAGCCCCGCTCTACTCTACATTATTATTTGAAATTTTTAGATCGTTCTCAACATCAAGACAAAACTTTTAATTCGATAAATAATGTTTATTAACTTATATCCTAGAAGTTTCTTCTAATTTTCTTTATTTGATATTTAAATTTGGATTTCATTTATTGAAATTTATTTATTTTGCATAATTCAAAAAAATACAATTGTATTATATTACAATATTTGTCGTGAGTGGATTGATTTTAAAAGATATTTAGAGCATATTAAGTGCTTGCTTTTTTTAAATTTTTGAATATAAATCTAGATATCTTGCATCTTGCATAAATCTTTAAAGAATATCTTTTGTTTTAGTTAGTTTTATAAGATTATATAATTTTAGATTTATGTACAAAATTAATAAAGGCTATATAAAATACCAATTTGGGAAGATAGACCATTTTTGATATGCGGAACTCTAAGAGAATAAAAACTATACAAGAACTAAGGAATCCATTCAAGGCAATCATCTTCAAGTACTTCAAATATGTGTTTTAAATTTTTTTATAACCGATAGAATAGTTTATAAAATATTACAATAAGTAAATCCGTTTATGAGTAGAAAAATTATATGCGACAATTATTATTGATATTTGACGTACTATTTGGCAAATGCTACATTGCTTTTATTTTTGTCAATTTTTTATGAAATTTATTGGACGATGAATAATCGAATTAGAATGAAAGTAGCTTTATTTAAAATTAAATAATTACTGCATTGAAGCGTTTAATCATGCATAACAGACTCGTCTGTAGAGCAATTAAGTTCAATTATAAAACACGTCCACGTACATGTTTTTCCAAGAACATTAGTGAGCTCTATAAAATTCCCAAAATACAGATCTCAGAACTTGCCAAACTGTTATTAAATTATAATTGTATATGAATACTCATCAAAAACAAATGGAGTATTTTTGGGAGTTCTGATTTGTCTGCCTGTCTAGTTTTTTTTCTAAAATAATTTATGCAAAATTCATACATTTTTTTAAAACAAAATTCTAGCAGGGCAATAGAAAATTAATCTGAAATAAACGTACATAATATCTTCAACGAGTTGACTGCCACGGCAAATTAATAAAAATCTCGCAATTCGATATTTGAAAGATTTCAATTCAATATTATTTACTACTGCATAGTTTTCATCAAAATTCAAAATAATCGCAATCCAATACGATATCTCGTAGTTGGCAGTCAACGTGTTAAAAATTAAAAAAACTAAACACACAATATTCTCGCACACCAGAGATATATACCCGTTTTTCCAAGGCAATTATACAAAATTAATTGCCTTCATATGTATATATCTCAAATAGTTATTTGTTTCTGAAGGTCGAAGGACTCGTTCAAATCTTTACGAAATATTATATTTTTCTTAATTTGTTGATATTTCATCAAAAATATTTTTAATTGAATACTAGCAAATATAAAGCTAGAAGAATTGAAGAACATATGATTTAGTTCTGAAACTGGACAAATTTAAGGATTTGAAGCAGAAGTTCTAAAACTGAACTAATTTAAGGATTATTGAAGCAGAAGTTCTAAAACTGGACAAATTTAAGGATTATTGAAGCAGAAGTTCTAAAACTGGATAAATTTAAGGATTATTGAAGCAGAAGTTCTTAAACTAGACTTTATTTAAGGATCATTGAAGTAATTCATGCCTCCAATTTGTGTAGCCTAAAGTCCTTCATTATAATTCAAATGTAATTTTTTAATATCCTTAATAATCAACGGATATAAAATATATATTCAATAGATGGATGATGAAAAAATATACAGCTGTTTTTTTTTTTTGAAAACATCATTCCAAATAAATGATTTGTGAACTGAGAGTACATGTATCAATCTTGAAATCGTTTTTTGTTTTATACAACATTTAACTATAAAATTACAAAGTAGTCACCATCTATATGTTATAAGAAACTGCACAATATCTCAATTTTAACAAAAGATACTAGTGATGTTGATTTAGTTTTCAAAACTATGAAAAAAATGGGATATGAATGCAAAAGAAAAAGTCTAATATATAATTTTTTGAAACAAATAAAACAGTCGACTAAAGGCACAAGTTTTTGAGACTAAAATATGTTTCTAGAAAGCTTCCAAATTAGCCCAAACTTTTCAGTATGATCTGCAATTCACAACACCTTTCTGACTTTAATAGTCCTAAATAAAATAAACTATGAATATATCATTCCAAATAAAATATTTAGTATCGGATGAACATAAAACCAAATTCATTCAATTATACTTGTGTGAGTTTTAACTCGTTTTAACATTGGAATGGAGTTCTTTACTGGATCACGTCGTAAAACTGTTTTAATTTGATCTCTGAAATATGCATTAGTTCCTTTAGTGGATACAAAGTATTTGCGACAAGACCATTAGAAAGTGTTCACCACCTACGGTTGTCTCCAATAGTGTTAGAAATATCGCACAATTCAATACAAGACATTTTTGTCACATGTGACATTTATCATACAAAAATATTTATCTTTTGCGAACATAAATCTTGTTCACAATAGCGAAATCTAAATGGTTCAAAAATTTAAATCAGCCGTTTATGTATATTCTATAAATATATTTAAATATTAGATATGTTAGAAACAAATTTCAAGAGATATCAAAACTAATAGATAAATATTTGACTCCAAACCTAATATAAGTGAATTAGTAAGTCATGAACCAACCTGCTTTATATTTTGTAAATTAAATTAAATTTTTAATTTTTTCGAAAATATTAAGCATTGTTTTTTATTTATTAATTTCCCGAAGAGTAAGGTATTGTAATCGTTCAAAAATTGAAAATGAAATTTTTTCCATATATCTTCACATTTTGAAGGTTTCTGAACATTTTTGTTTTCGGGCATTCAACCGATTTCAATGGTTCGAAAAACAATTGGATTCCTATTGATAGGGAGATGTGCTGATTTGTTTTTGGCAAAGGCAGGTGCAGCCGTCTTGGAGATACGGATCAAAGAGTGCAGAAAGTAGAAATCGAGTTTTTGAGAGAACAGAGCATCCGATTTGAATGATCCAAAATTCATTCAATTCGTAATGATGGGGAGAGGTAGTGGTTTTGTAGAAAAAGCTGGTTTAGCCGTTTCGCAGATCAGGAGTAAATGTGCAAAAAATGGTAGTATTTGAGAGAACTAAGCATCAGATTTGAACGATTCAAAAATCTTTCTGCTTGTGGTGAAGAAACGATTGCTTTTGCGAAAAGAAAAAAAAATCGAAAATATTTGTTTACATAATGTTTTTCATTTTAGATCCGATTGAATAAGTTTTGTTTGTTTTCTTTTTTGTAAACATATATAAGTTACAGTATATATAAAAATATATTTAAAACATTATTCTTTGAATATTTCATTACGGTACGGGTAGTTTCAATTTGCCTTAAGGCACGATGCCATACACCACTAGTTGCATTTAGGATTATTAATATAGTTATGGTATAATTAGATTTCATTGTAAAATAATCAGTGTTAAAAGTTGTTCAATCAATTCAAAAGCAATAAAAATAATTAATTAATTTGAAATAATTTAACATCAAAATAATAAAATATTCGTTCACTTATTTTTGCCGATATCAAATATATCTTCATGGAATAACAAAACATAAGCCGTATGGAGAAGATTCCTTATCAAAACTCTAAATTCACCACTATTGTAAAAAATTATTTGGTAAATGAATTTTTTTCCAAGTCTCTGCTAATAAGGACTAGTACAGTAAAATGACCGCCGAATAATTATTCTATAGTTTTGGTATTATGATATTTGTCTTTGTTTGGGTTTCGGTAGCTGATGTACTACCATCTACAACTATAGTAGTTAAAAAGTGACCAAAACCGAAAATGTATAAAAATAATATATATTGTAATATACAGAAGAACATTCTTAAATAAATTTATGATCACCATTGCATCTAACAAAGTACAAAAAAATATTACAAGATAAGGTTAAAAATGACTCTTATTTTGATGGAAATAACTACTATGGACTATACTTTAGCATCGCTATTCCCAAACCCGCCAAGTCAGAGAAATAACCTAAGCACCCTTAACTATTAGCAATAACAATATAAATGTATATAATAATAATATTAATATCTAACATGATTACACCTGCCACATTCATTATCATTTCATCATATATCGATATTCACAAATTTCACAATCCCGGATGATTTATAATTTTTATCTATTGGTTTCAGTTTTCATCATTTACCGCAACATCCGCATCTCATGCAACAAAAAATGAATTGCTCACCAATAATTTCACCCCCGAGTACTCCGCCTCGAATAAAACTGCGATCTCCTGCAGAACTGCTGCGACCAGAAGCTAAAAAGAGACCATTGCAATATTCTGATCTGCCTTATATGGGTGAAATGACTTTAGATAGTAGCAAGCCTCGACGTGGACGCAAACCCAAGAAAGCTGATATTTGTCATTTGATTTACAAAAATTATGGCACTACTGTAGCCGATAATAATTCTGCAGCAACTCCAGCGGTTGTACCTAATATCATAGACATAGAAAAGGTTGGTAGTCTCCTAGAACAAAGGCTCATGCAAGAGGAATCACAACCGTTAAATTTATGTGTACGAGATGCGCCACAACCAACTTCAGAACAAGAGGATCAACTTTTGTGCTATCCTATGGCTCTGTATTACCAAAACTTAATTGCTGCTGCAGCAGCAGCCGCAAACACGCCTGCTGCAAGCACGAGTCCGCCACAACTCCCACGGGAGAAAGTACAAGGAAAACGCAAAAGGTCGGCGATTTTTATACCACCTGCCCCAGTAGAAGGCACTACAAATCCAGCAACGGAAGTTTCAATTTGCAAATTCAAATTCACAGGAGGAGCTAAGCCAAGCCTTCAAGAGAAGAAAATGCTTAGTGTTGATTCAGGCGGAAATTTCCGCTATTACAGCGGAACTGGCGATAAGTCAATGCGCGGTTACGAGTTTTTTCCGAGGGAAACTATGCAGGCAGGAAAACCGGAACAAGTTATACCAGAACAAATCGTTGAACCGAAATCCAACAACGTTGACCACAGAAGGAAGAGAAAATCTAGGAGGAGTTTACACAGAGAGCGATTAGAGCAAACATTCAAAGAAAAGGGATTTTTGATACAAACTCAAAAACTTGAATCAGCTGAAGGTGCAACTTACTGCAAATTCAGGCAATTGAGAAAATTCACTAGGTATTTATTTAGAAGTTGGAAAGATTATTTGCCCGGAGAGTTGCAGAATGGCGAAAACGGCCAACCTGTCCCAGTGCCTATTGAAACTGGGATGTCATCCGATGGAGCAACAAATGTTTGATAACGGTTTTAAATAATATTTCCAATATCTTGATGAGTTTTTGAAGTTATCGTAATTTAAGTTATGAATCAACTTTTAAACCAATTAATTACCAAATATTTATATATGTATTTATTGGAAATTTTGACATATTTGTTTATTTTGTACATATTGTAAATATTTGTAATTTTATACTAATTTTGTAATAAGAATTCTTTTTGGTAGAAAAGCTTTAATATTCTGCAAAAATTGGTTGCTTTTCTTGCCGATTGTGCTGAAACACTGCCAGCTAAATTCATAAGAATAAGTGAATTAATTTTAAGATATTGTTAACGATTTTTAAATATTCTTCTCTGCCTTAACATAGCTCTTTAAATAATATTTAAAGGCTGTATATTGATAAAAATTATTAATAGGAAAGCCAAAGACTAAATGGCTATTGTAAATTTATAAAATAGCTACTATTATTTTATGAAATATGAAGGAGTCTCAGCCTTAATTCTAGTCACTAACAATTGTTCTAGTCTACAACTAGTACTATATTGATAAAATGATCGGTCATTTAAAAATCGACATATATGAAATGTATATTAATTAAACAGTACAGAGTTTTTGTTTTAGATTGAATGTTATGTATAATGTTGTGATTTTGTATATTGGAAAATTATGTGAAATACAATTTATTTTGTAAAAATGGTTATTTGTTGATAGACATTTGTATGACAAGGTGATCATCGGATACATTGTTCTAAATTTTTGATGAATTATAAATGATTATCGGGATATATGAACTAAATCTAAATTACTTAGAGGAAACATGTATAAGTGGTTGCTTGAATAATTGAATAGTTGCATACATTTCCTAATATCTGTAGCTGAGATGGTTACATGTTGAAATGTTTTTCCATTTTCAAAATTTCTCTATATTTTTAGAAACTATAATTAATGAACTCAATCTTCAATATCTATATCTTTCTATTAAACTGATAAACTATTGTTTAACTATATCAAATAGTAATTCTTGAATTGTATCAACTGCAAAATATTTTTTCACTAATCAAAAGTGTGTTAGATAAAACCTTGCGAATTGAATTCAATTACCATGTCAGAAATAATTCATGTGGAATAAAATGCAATATGTAATATATGCTCAATACCAAATACTTCTATGTTAGTTGAAAGCAAATCGAAAACACACATTGCTGATTTCTCGGCAAGACTTGCAATATCAAATTCAGGTTAAACTATTTTTTTTACTTATGCCGCAAATTTTTTTTTTGTATTATTTATATATTACATTTCATTGTATTGTAATATAATTTTATTTATATTTATGTCATGGCCAGGTAATGGCCTAATTTGCTATAGTTATATACTGAGGATACATATTTACATTAATATTTATTTTAATATTCTATTCACAGAACTGGTAGAGCAAAAAGACATCAACAAATTATTAGAAGAATAAGATCTCACAGATAAGGTAATAAAATATATTTATTCTCTGTATCAATATATACTATGTACTATTTAATAAATATATTCACATCATTTATCACATTTTCCTTCAAACCCGAAGTAGTATTTGAACATATGTCCACAATTGTGCTGTTCAAGGAATTTAAAAAACTCTCCCATATCCATATGTTTATCTGTTGATTTGACAACGCTTTTTTGGAATATTTTTTCTTCAAAATCATGAAAGTATCTTTCATTTTCATAATCATCTAACATATCTCTTTTAATAACATTAATTTTCTGCCAATTCATAGATTTAATAGCTGACCACCATTCTTCACAATTTCTCAACTCGCCTTCTATACAAACAATACCAGGCTTACCAGGTAAACAGAAGCCGGTTAAGTTTAAAGCTTGAGCAAGGTTTAGAATTTCTTTTCGCTTCAATTTATTGTATATATGGTGAGAATACACCCAGAATCTGCAATAAGACTTTTGTTTTGGTTGTTGTACTGTATTGATTTCAATGTCATTTGATTTTGAATTCATATATGTCTGCGTGGATTCTTTAATCCATTCAATTATTTGGAATAAACAGTAATTGTCAGTTATTTCTGTTAAAAATTTATCCAAGTCTTCGTTCAAACAACTCAATTCTGATCTGGACAACTTTGAGCAAACTACGTAAACACTTGGTCTCGTATAGGGAAAAGTATTGGGCAAGTTAAAGTTTATTTCTGTTTTATTACCATTTAGATTTAAGTTTAATGAAAAATCTAAACGATTAGGTACATCTATAGATGCTGAATTTACGAATTCGTTTACATCAGCATGAACACCATGGTCGCTTATTTCGAATTCTCCTGGTTCCATGTAAATCGATTGTAGGGTTTCTATGTCCAGAAGTTGTTGTTGTAGGCATTCTTTAATATTAACTTTATTATCTTTAATGTATTCATATATTGCTGACATCTTAGGTTAGAAACAAGTGTAAACATTAAAATAAATTTCACAATACCTCTGTCAAAGTAATAAATATAAAAAAAAGTTATGGTACGTACACATATATTATTTTCTCATAAAATACTTAAGTTTATTTGGAATTTAAAATAATTTATATGATGTATGTCAAATTATTATATTATCTAGGATGTGATGTAGTTAATCAAAAAACGTGTCGAAGTAGGAGTATATATAAGGTTATCTTTCAAATAACCATTGCCATCTGCTGGAAAATAATATTTATTCGAAACAATGGAAACTTTTGTTGAATTTTTTTCGTTTTATCGACCTCAATTTTGAATTTTTTTTCCAAAAGCAATTATTTTGTCAAAACAAGTAGAAAGTTTTTGCATCATTCAAATCGGATGCTTAGTTCTCTCAAAAACTGCCACTTTTTGTACAATTAGCTCGGCATCTCTGAAACGGCTGGGCCTGACTTTGCCAAAAATTAATCACCACTTCTCCCCATCATTACGAACTGAATGTTTTGTTCTCGTAGGGAAAAGTTATTGTAATTGTCCAAAAATCGAAATCTTTTACATTTCTTCACGTTTAGAAGGTTTTTGAACAATTTAGCATACTTCAGAAAAAACGGATGTGTGTGTGTATGTATGTATGGATACAATTTTTCGTCAACGTTTTCTAGCGCACAGATCAACCAATTTGAATGGTTCAAAAAACATCCGATTCCTATTGATAGGGAGATGTGCTGCTTAGTTTTTTGCAGAAAATAGAAATCGAGTTTTTGAGAGAACGGTGCATCCGGTTTGAATGATTCGAAAACCATTTGATTCCTAGTGATAGGGAGAAGTGGTGATTCGTTTTTGGCAAAGGCAGGTCCAGCCGTTTCGGAGATACCGAGCTAAATGTCAATTTTTTTTTTTTTGTATATCGAAACTAATTCAAATTTTAATTTTAATTTGGCTAAAGTTCTAAAGCTCACTTATATACTTTAAATAAATATTTTAACTTTGTAATTCATTTATATAATTCTTATAAATATTAGACAATGTTATAGTATTTATAATAATCTATTTGAAAACATTCAATATTCCTCGAACATTTCGTTACGGTACGGGAAGTTCCGGCAATTTGCTTTAAGGCACGATGCCATACACCACTATAGTTAGATCATTTAAATTGGATGCTCCGTTCTCTCAAAATCTCGATTTCTATTTTCGGCACTCTTTGCTCTATATCACCGTAACGGCTGGACCTGCATTTGCCAAAAACTAATCAGCACCTCTCCCTATCAACAGGAATCGAATGTTTTTTAAACCATCCAAATCGGTTGATCCGTGCGCCCGAAAACGTGAACGAAAAAATGCGGACATACAAAACACACACACATCAATTTTTCTAATAATGATAACATCCGATTTGCTAAACAATGTTTTCTCGGCGTTTCAAGCCATTCTGAATCGAATGAGAGAAAATTGTGAAAAAGTATGAGTGTGTGTGTGTGCAAACAGATTTTTGTCGTAAATCGACGTTTTCTCAAAAACGGCTGGACCGATTTCAAAAATTTAAAAGCCATTCGATGCACCTCGATGATGACTATTGTGCGACGATTGGCCAAGCCGTTTCTTTTATAAATAGCAAAAAAGTGAAAAAAATTTTGTCTACGTTATAGCCCGCAATTCTGAATCGATTTTGAGAATTCAAAATCTATTCGATTTTGGTAAATATAGCCTGGCTGTTTCTTTGTAATTAAGTGTTGAAAAAAAATGTTTCTTACGATTTTGATGAAGCTTGTACAATGATATTATAATTGTATTTATTCAACAATACAATTATACAACTAGTGGAGCACATGGCATCGTGCTTTAAGGCAAAATTGCTGAAAACTTTCCGTATAATAATTTTTTTTAAAAAGAATAACATTTTTGAAAAAAATTACTTTGAAAAAATTAGATTTTTGAGAGAAACATAAAAATTTGACAAAAATTTACCTTTTTGAAAAAAAGACTTTTGGAAAAAATGTTTTCTATTTTGAAATATTTTGGAAATTCTGAACTCTTTTTCAAAGCAATCGTCCTGCTTTAACTGCTTAGAGATGAATTATCGAAGCGCGTAAGCGCCGCGTGGCCGTCTAACGCATAAACATTGGTACGGAACGATCGATAGGAATGTAAAACAAAATTTATACTTACTGTTAAAAATCCCTATAAAATATCGGATTAATTTGATGTGCAAAAATTTTCATTTCGATTTTGTTGCGATTACTATAACTTACCTACGGGAAGTTAATTATAGATAAATAACTTAATTTGTAATTTATATTAATACATAACTAGTTGAAAGTATTTTTTGATAACTATGTCGTTGAAAGTGTTTTTTTGAGAAATCGTCGACGAAAGGGTCAAAAATCGGCTGATTTTTTTTCCAAATTTGTGTCTGTCAGTTGAGAAAACATAATATTCACATTAGGTTGTTTTTGCTGAAACAAAAAATCTCCGTCGAGAAGTTAATAAAAATTCGGTAAAAAAAAACCAAAAAAAAGTTATTAATTCAGTTTTATAAAGTATGGTGAGTTTTACTAAAGTATGGTTTTATTAAAGTATGGTGAGAAAACTATTGTTGCCAAAGATAACACTATTAAAATTACCCTCAAAATACGTCCCTGTCAATAGAAACACAAAATTTGATTTTAATATCGCATATAGACTCCTGTCATCGAATAAATATAAGCATTTATGTAGGATTTTTAATCGATTGCATCAAAAATACCGTTATATATCGAATGTCATAAATCCTACGTTGTGGTTCTATCAGTCCGCAATTGACTTTTGACAAAAGAAGAGTTTTATATTGAATAGTGAAATATATTTTCCAAATAAATATGTAGTCGTACATGTGTTAATTTAATTATTACCCAGTGTATTCAGTTTTTATAGATCAAAATGTGCACAAAATAATTAGATTTTTTGGCATAGCTCTTATATTTTTAAGTATTTTCCCTTGAATAAAAGTGAAACAAATGTGATAGACAATAAAAATATCATACGAGGCGCAATTGGAAAAATTTTGGCTTTGACCGCTGATTTTTTCACTGGCTTTATGATTTAAACAATTTAAAAATACAGTATAATTAGGATTTAGGTTTAATTAATTACGTTAAACTTGGGTTATAGGAGTTGTGTGTATCTGTACTTGTACGGAAAACCTTCCAATTGTCGCAATGCCATTTTGTTCAAAAAATCATTTATTTCATACTCAGGTTTAGTGAACAGTCTCACAATAAAAATGGCTTTGTATAAATTACTTATATACTACTAATATAAAAACCATATTCAAAACATATTATTTTACATACTATTTAGATGTTCTTTATACATTTTTGCATGCAATTTAACAGGTCATATAAAAATTACAGATTCTAATTTTATTGCACGTTTTGTCAACTGTTGGAAATCCTAATGTTGACGTTACTAATCTGAAAAATCATATATTTTATAATTTCGGGTATAGGATTTAGGACTCATTACAGTAAATAAATTAATAATTAAATTGTAGAAAAAACACAATGTTAAAACGATACTAATTGTTAACTTAACACTAAACATTGTGTAATGCAATACTCAATAACTTGAAGTAAAAATGCTTGTGATAATTTGACATATTTTATAAACAAAGCATGGTAATAGAATGTTTAGTACCCAAA